GAACTACTAGTGGCAGGATGTATCATTTGGAAGGAAACTCTTCATTGCAAACCCAGCGACAACCTCGTTCTCTGGTACCTAATTGCACATTGGACCCTTGACACCAACGAAACATTTCACGTACATTTCAGACGACGGAAATCAAAATAATTCTTTAATTATCAAAATTACGTGTAAATGTCACACACATTCGTATACACTCTCAAATGAAACCCATATCGCTATGCATATTCCTACTCCATTTTTCTCAGAAAGGTAATATATGCCTTTCGTAAGGAAGTACAATTGTTGGCACTAACTTCTTTCCATACAACAAACTAAGCTAATTTGGTGCTACAAAACGATTATTTTAAGCCTCAATCTATCCGTCAATCCCAAGAAGTGATTCCATTCGGCAGCGTGACTAAGGAAACGTAGATCGAGACAGAATGAAAGGAAATTAGCACGAAGAAGTAATGGCGGCCACAAAAAACAGGTCATTTTATAAAGCGAGCTAGCATCCAGTACCCCGAAAGTTCAAAGAAAGTTTGGTTACTAAGTTCAAGAAATGACCGATGTAGACAAACAAACAAACAAAAGACAAGAGCAAAAGAAAAAAAATAAAGCAAAACAAAACGACAACAACAACAAAGGAAAAGCAAACAAATTCTAGTAACAAGAAAAAACTAAATGAGACAGTTGTGTTTCTCGAATGACCGATTTATACGCTGCGATAATAAGACAAGATAAAAGACTTCGTGATCAGAAATAATTTGTGTTCTTAATACTCTAAATCCGCGTCTCCTGAATCGCATGTACAATAGGCTGGTAGGGAAATAAAGATTTCCTTTCCCTGACGCTCTGCAATGATTTACGAGTTAGTATCCAAGCTAACGTGGCGCGAACATGTTAAATTAAGTTAAGTTTTGCCGAGTGACCTAACCAGCTCGGCTAAGCCGCCTGCTAATCGTACCCAGACCATAACCCTGTCAAATTAGTATCGACTTACTCTAATTGCACATTGGAACCTTCACACCACCGAAACATTTCACATAGATTTCAAACGAGGGAATAAAAATAATTCTTTAATTATCAAAATTACGTGTAAATATCACACATATTCGTATACACTCTCAAATGAAACCCATATCCCTATGCATATTCCTGTTTTTCTCGGAAAGGTAATATATGCCATTCGTAATGGGGAAATAAGACTTCCTCTTAAGAATGAAGTACATTTTTGGCACTAACTTCTTCCCATAGGACAAACTAACTAAGATAATTTGGTGCTACAAAACGATTATTTTCAAGCCCCGGCCAAACGATCGCAACATTTCAACACAACATATCGCAACATTGTTGCGACGTGTTGCGACATGTTGGGTGTTGTTGGCTCAATTTTGAAAATGGTCAAATCTGTCATGTAACATTTGTGGATGTTGCATGATGTTGTAGTCGTTTGGCCAGGCCGCCGTGCAACAATGTTGCGCCCGGACATGCGCACTAGTTCGATTTTCAATACCCAACGTGAAACAACACGTCGCAACAGGGTGGCCCAACGCGCGTAACATGTTGCGCCCAACAACGTTGCGATATGTTGTATTCAAAATCTTGCGATCATTTGGCCGAGTCTTAAACCCTCAATCTACCCTTTATTTCCCTGAATTGATTCCATTCAGCAGCGTGACTAAGGGGACGTAGATTACGACTAAATGAAAGGAAATTAGAACAAAGAAGTAATGACGGGCAAAGAAAACAGGTCATCTTATAAAGTGACATTCAGTTCCCCGAAAGTTCAAAGAAAGTTTGGTTGCTAAGTCCAAGAAGTGGCCAATGCAGGCAAACAAACAAACAAACAAACAAACAAAAGACAAGAGCAAAAGACAAAACAACAACAACGGAAAAGCAAACAAATTCTAGAAACAACATACTAAATGAGACAGTTGTGTTCTCGAATGAATTTTTTTTACTCTGCGATAACATAGCGAGATAAAGTGTATGCTATGAAATATTTTCTAAATAGTTGAAATCTACGTCTCCTGAAGCGTATATACAGTAGGCTGGTAGTGAAACAGAAAATATATTTTCCCTGAGTAAGTGCAATGATATATACGTTAGCAATTCAAGCTTACCTGATGCGACCATGATATATTAAGTTGATATTTGCCTAGGCCATTTGGATACACACCTTAACACTAACGTAGGGTAAAAAGCTTAGATGAAAACCTTAAAATA